ACTGCCGTAGTTTGGCTGGCAGGCGGGTTCTGGGCTTCGGGGCCTGGAGATGCGGTCAGGCTGGCGGCCGTCCACATTCCCGGGCCAGCCCGAGTGAACCCCGGGGAGAGGAGAGGAGCTAGCCGCCTCCCCCGCTGGCGCTAGGAAGCGTCGCTCCTTCTCGCTGACCTTGGTCTCGCTTGTCCCCTCGCCCTTGGCCACCCTCAGTGACCGGCCCATGGTCCGAGAGGTCTGCAGACAGGTCCTCGGACAGGCAGAGACTCGCGATGTAGCCACACAAACTGCTGTCGTCCTCCCCTCCGGCTCTGGGGCGTCGGGTCGCCCCCGCCCCAACGCCCGGGCGATCCAGTCCAGGGTTAATGCCAACGAGTTTCCACCTCCAGCCGCTCCTAGAGAGGCCGCGGCGCAAGCCAGCGGGGGAAACTGGCCAGGGACGGACACTTCCTGTGTGGGGGGAGGGGGCGGGAGAGCCGTGGCCCAGCCGGGGCTGGGGGCCAGGGCGAGGGGGTCTCGGGCCGGCGGTAGTGGCTGGGGACGGCCGGAGGCGTAGAGTAGCCCCTCGCCTCCGAGGCCACGGCGCGCGAGGGCCGGTGAGGGCCGCAGGACAATCGGAGACCTTGGCAGGGGGCGGGGCCGCGGGCAGGGGCGGGGCCGGGGAGGCCCAGGGTCAAGACGTCCGGCCTTCGCGGCCCAAGCCAGGCCGCCCGGTGTCCTGGGCAGCTCTGAACCGGGGGGTGGCGAGGGCTCGGGGCTCCGGGCACTCGAACTGGGTCGCAGGATCGTCCGCTATCGCCACCGCCGCTGCACTGGGAGCTGGCAGGGATGGAGCGGGAGGCGTCGTCGTGGGGCCTCGAGCCCGGGGATGTGCACGGTCCTGACGACATGGGCAGCCCCGAAGGGGCTCTCAAAGGTGAGGGAAGGACCGCGCCTCCTAGGAGTGTGCCAGGAAGCCGGGCTGTGGCCTGTGGGAGGAAAATAAGGCCGGAAGCTCAGACACTTGGGAGTGGGGTTGGGGGTGGAGACTTGGGTGTCCCGGGTCTTTGGAGAGGAGGTGGGAAGTTTCAGCACCTTGGTTTAGGGCCAGCGACCCCGCCTGGGGAGTGGGGGAGAGAAGTGTGTGGCAATCACTGGACCAGATGACCTTCCAGACCCCCCAGTCAATGTGGATTTTCTGTACTCTGATCCTGCAGGCAACACCAGTGAGAACGAAGGAGGCAATGGGAACTATGAAGTTGAAGAAATACCTTTTGGGCTTGAACCCCAAAGCCATGAGTTTGAGCCACAAAGCCCAGAGTTTGAATCCCAGAGCCCCAGGTTTGAGCCTGAAAGCCCAGGGTTTGAATCCCGAAGCCCTGGGTTTGGGCCCCCAAGCCCCGAGTTCGCACCCAGAAGTCCTGAATCAGATCCTCAGAGCCCCGAGTTTGAATCCCAGAGTCCTAGGTATGAGCCCCAAAGCCCTGGCTATGATCCCAAGAGTCCAGGCTATGAACCCAAAAGCCCTGGATATGGTTCGAAGAGCCCCGAATTTGAATCTCAGAGCCCCGGGTATGAATCCCAGAGTCCCGGGTATGCACCGCAGAACTCTGGAGATGAAGCTCGGAATCCTGAGTTCAAAACCCATAGCCCTGAATTTGAAACGCAAAGTTCCAAATTCCAGGAAGGTGCAGAGATGCTTCTGAACCCTGAGGAAAAGAATCCATTGAGCATCCCCTTGGGAGTTCACCCCCTGGACTCCTTTACTCAGGGGTTTGGGGAGCAGCCCACGGGAGCATTGCCCCTAGGGGCACCATTTGATATGCCTGCAGGGGCCCTGCTGGCCACACCCCAGTTTGAGATGCTCCAGAATCCCCTGAATCTGACAGGGACCCTTCGTGGTCCAGGCCGTAGGGGTGGCCGGGCCAGGGGTGGGCAAGGCCCTCGGCCTAACATCTGTGGCATCTGCGGGAAGAGCTTTGGGCGAGGCTCTACCCTGATCCAGCACCAGCGCATCCATACCGGCGAGAAGCCTTACAAATGTGAGGTGTGCAGCAAGGCCTTTTCCCAGAGCTCTGACCTCATCAAACACCAGCGCACCCACACCGGCGAGCGGCCCTACAAGTGTCCCAGGTGCGGCAAGGCCTTCGCCGATAGCTCCTACCTACTTCGCCACCAGCGCACCCACTCTGGCCAGAAGCCCTACAAGTGCCCACACTGTGGGAAGGCCTTTGGCGACAGCTCCTACCTCCTGCGACACCAGCGCACCCACAGCCACGAGCGGCCCTACAGCTGCCCCGAGTGTGGCAAGTGCTATAGCCAGAACTCGTCCCTGCGCAGCCACCAGAGGGTGCACACTGGGCAGCGACCTTTCAGCTGCGGCATCTGTGGCAAGAGCTTCTCCCAGCGGTCAGCACTTATCCCCCATGCCCGCAGCCACGCCCGTGAAAAGCCCTTCAAGTGCCCGGAGTGCGGCAAGCGCTTTGGCCAGAGCTCGGTTCTGGCCATCCATGCCCGCACCCATCTGCCAGGGCGCACGTACAGCTGCCCCGACTGTGGCAAGACCTTCAACCGCTCCTCCACACTCATCCAGCACCAGCGCTCCCACACAGGCGAGAGGCCGTACCGCTGCGCCGTGTGTGGCAAGGGCTTCTGCCGCTCCTCCACGCTGCTGCAGCACCATCGCGTGCACAGTGGGGAGCGACCCTATAAGTGTGATGACTGTGGAAAGGCCTTCTCGCAGAGCTCCGACCTCATCCGCCACCAGCGGACCCACGCGGCCGGCCGGCGCTGACCAGTCGAGGGTGGGGAGGTGATGGGCGGAAGAGAAGGGGTCAGGGAACTAGAGAAACAGCTTGAGAGAATAATGGAAACGCTGGAGGAGAATAGAAGGGTAGAATATTCTAGAAGATGGGTCAGGGTGCAGGAAGTCACATGCCCTCGACAAGTGGGCTCCGGAGAGGGGTTGGAGGGAGGCCCGACAGGCAACAGGAGGCACCAGGAGAGATCCGTGCTGCTTACCTCAACAGCAGCACGCTCCTTAGCTGGGAGGCCTGTCCTGGCAAAGTGCTAGATGGGGAGGGGGGAGGGCAAGGGAGTGTCAGTTAGAGTAGGGTAGCTTAGACTGGTAGCTGCTGAGACCCCTTGTGAAACCAGGAACAGGGCAAAGGGTAGGTCGGTGGGGAGTGGGGCCCAAGGGTGGGGCCTGGACCTCTCAGAGCAAACCCTGCCTTGTCTTCCTCAGGCTTTGGAGCCGTTTGAGTTCAATAAAACTTTTATGTGGTAAGAGACTTGTCCCTGAGGTGTGTATGTGGCCGCTTCCCTGAGCAGTGGGAGACGCCAGTCAGAACTGCAGCTGTGGATCTTGCCTGGGAAATGCTTTTGTGCTCAGTGGTTCAGTGGACTCTCTGCACCCAGAGTTCAGGGCATGGTGTATTCGCCCATGGACGCTGAAGTTCATGTCCCAAGGTTTTGCATGCTGCACACATTCAAAGGGACTGATCGTGGGAGGTGTGAGAAAGTCCTCAACTCTTCCTAAACAAAGGGTCTGTGCTCAGGCCAGAAAGCAGACCCGGATGCTCATACCTAGGTACAGCTGTTCCCTATCACATGTGGCTTAACCCCACCCTGCATCCCCAGAAGACACTAGATCTTTTCTCGGCTCCTGAGACTGGAGCAGGCAGCTACATTTCAGCCCCACCCAAAGAGGGGGTACCTGTTTGACCAAGTATGAAGGAGTCACTTCTCAGCCCCTCCCCTCCAGTGCCTGACCAGCTGGGATTGGTTGGTCACAGCTCTGCTTTCTCTGTACCTCTGCATCAACTGAAGGGACCACCTGCCCTGCCTGCTTTCCCATCCAAGTTCCAGACTCACGGACTGAGGCAGACTTAATATCAGTGAGACTGGAGGATTCTGGAGTACAGACTTGTGACCTTAGCAGAGGAGAGCAGGCCACAGCTTGGGGAATCTGCTGTTGGCACATTTTGAGACAAGGCTTACTGGGAGGACCTGATGGAGCTCTCTAAAGGTTTGCTCCTTTCACAGAAGAAGAAGAAACAGCCACAGAGGTCAGTGGTTGTTCAGTCACTGTGCAGCTAAGACCAGATTTGACATTCGAACTACATTTACCTGGCTCCACCTCTGCCTAGAGCTTGGCTACATGGGCGCATCTGAGTGTCTTTGGGTCCGGGTGTCATTCCCATCCTTAGGACCTTCAAACTCATAGAGAACAAGTAACTTCGAAGACCATTTCCATCCAGCTGGTCATGATCTGCAACTCTGGAAGGGACCATATGGTTCAGTTCCATTTGCTGAGTTTTCAAAATTAAAAGTACTCTTGAAAGTAGACCATTATTGCTCAAGTGAAATCTTGCAGTGATTAAAAGACCTTTATGAACTTAATGCAAGCATCACTACTTAGCTGCCCCCACCCCCGCCCCGCCCCCTTCCCCCTCCCCGCTGAAATGGAATGTCACTAGATAACCCAGGCTAGCCCCAAACTCAAGATCTTACTGTTGAAGTCTGTTGAGGGTTAGGAGTACAGGTGTGCAGCGCCACACCTGGTTTCTTTACAGATAGAGTGTCACTTAGAGTAGCACCCTGCTTACATGCTGAGGTGCAGTTACTGAGACCTTCAGCACTGGACCAATGGAGCTGTATCCAAAGACTTCGTACCTGGCTTTTTTTTTTTTAAAGACATGGTCTTTCTATGTAGCCCCAGCTGTCCTGGTATATTTTATGTAGATTAAGCTGGCCTCAAATGCACAGAGATTGACCTACCTCTGCCTCCCCCAAAAAAGGCACATGTCATTATGCCTGGCTTCATACCTGGATTTTAAACATAATTCTATCATTTTATCTTATATTTGGATTTATTTATTATAGTACTGAAGTTTTTGAGTGCTGCTGTGGATATCATTCTATATAAATAAAACACTGATGGCCAGTGACCAGGCAAGAAATAGGTTGCCAGGCAGGAAGTAGGTGGGACAAGGAGAGAGGAGAATTCTGGGAAGCAGAAGGCTGAGGGGAGAGACACTGCAGCCACTGCCAGGACAAGCAGCATGTAGAGACTCTGGTAAGCCACCAGCCACGTGGCAAGGTATAGATTTATAAAAATGGGTTAATTTAAGATAAAAGAACAGTTAGCAAGAAGCCTGCCACGGCCATACAGTTTATAAGTGATATAAGCGTCTGAGTGATTATTTTATACGTGGATTGTGGGACTGCGGGGCTTGGGGAACCTGGAGAGAAGCCCTCCAGCAACAGAGTGCAGGGCCTTGTATTTCTTAGGCAAGTGTTCCAACACTGAGCTACATCTCTAGTTTCAAATATGTATTTTTTAATTTATTTTTTGAGACAGTCTCACTCTGTGGTCCTTTTTAACTTGTAACTCCCAATGTAGACCAAGCAGGCCTCAAACTCACAAGAGTTTCCATCTGTGTCCTGGTGAAAAATGCATTTTATTTACTTATTTGTTTATTTGTTTGTTTATTGATTTATTGATTCATTCATTCATTCATTCATTCATTCATTTATTTATGAGACAGGGCCTTACTCTGTACCTTAGGCTAGCCTGGATTCACTATGTTGCCCAGGTTACCCTTGAACTCATGTCAATCCTCTTGCCTTTGCTTCCCAGTGCTGGGGTTACAGGCTGAGCTTTGGGGTTACAGGCTGAGCTTTGGGGTTACAGGCTGAGCTTTGGGGTTACAGGCTGAGCTTTACTTGGAGTCAATTTTTATTCTATAGATTTTATTTTATTTTTTAATGTGAATGAGTGTTTTGCCTGCATACGAGGATGAATAATAAGAATGTACCTGGTGCCAGAAGAAGGGGTTGGCTTCTCTGGAACTGGGATGACAGATAGTCGGAAGCCACCATATGGGTGCTGAGAACTGAATCTGGGTCCTCTGTAAGCAAGAAATGCGTTTGTTTTTCAAGCCAGATGTTTCTCCCTAATGGTTAAGGTAACAAGTGCTCTTGACCACTGAGCCATTTCTTCAGCACCTAGATTTTTATTTTCAAATCCACTGTTTACTGTGTGTGTGTGTGAGAGAGTGTGTATATATGTAGGCATGGACATGCCATGGCTCACTTGTGGAGGTCTGAGGACAACTTGCAGGAGTCTGTTCTCTCCCTCCTCTGTGTGGTTCCAGGAGGTAACTCAGGTTGTCAGGCTTGGCAGCAGGTGCCTTGAACATGATTATACCCTGAGCCAAACAGTTTCCATCTTCAGAAGTTCAGCTGAGCCCACTTTCAAAAAAGCACCCCAGCTCGGGTTGCCTGATCACACCTAAGGGGTGACCCTCAGCTGAGTGGGGACCCCACCTGAGTGTCCAGCTGTGCCATACTACTGTTGTATGTAGCTGTCACAATTGCACGTGGCCTCAGAGAGAGGCTAGACTATCTAGGCTGGGGAAGTCTGGAACAGGTGATGCTCTGTGTATATAACTACGGGGAAGACCATCCCTGCTAGTGGCTCAGTGGTCAAGAGCACTTGTTACCTTAACCATTAGGGAGAAACATCTGGCTTGAAAAACAAACGCATTTCTTGCTTACAGAGGACCCAGATTCAGTTCTCAGCACCCATATGGTGGCTTCCGACTATCCCTTTCCTTGCAAACTCGTTTTCAGGAGGAGCACCCACATTCCTCTAAGTAACCCTCATCTATGCTCTGTAAGTCCACTAAACTCATTGCTTCCCCAGACTGACCTTTGTGGAATAGCGCCTGAGTTTGTGGTTGGGGCCTTAGGAGGAGGAAGGGTACGTGTTTACATCTCCCTTGAGAAGGAGTTCAGTAACACATCTTTACCTTCTGGGCTGTTTTGCTGGCTCCTGGAGCAGGTGGTTTTTTGTGTTTTTGTTTTGTTTTGTTTTGTTTTGTTTTTTCAAGACAGGATTTCTCTGTGTAGCCCTGACTGTCCTGTAACTTGCTCTGTAGCCCAGGCTGGCCTCAAACTCACAGAGATACACCTGCCTCTGCCTCCCGAGTGCTGAGATTAAAGGCGTGCACCACCATGCCTGGCAAGGGGCAAGTTTTTTAAATTTATTTTTCTTTTTTTAATGAAATTTTTAAATTTTTTATTTACTTTTATTTTATGCGCATTGGTGTTTTGCCTGCAGGTCAAATCTTTGAGTTACAGACAGTTGTTAGCTGCCATGTGGGTGCTTGGATTTGAACCCGGGTCCTTTGGGAGAGCAGGCAGTGCCCTTAACCACGGAGCCATCTTTCCAGCCCCTTTAAATGAATTTTATACGTTTTATTTTTAACAATATTTTGTTTTTGTTTTTATGTGTCTGAGATTTCGCTTTCATGCATGTGGATCTCATGCGGACCTGGTAACTCAAGGGGCCAAGAGAGGACACTGGATCCTTTGGAACTGTTACAGGTGGTTGTGAGCCACCGTGTGTGTGTGGGTGGGTGGGTGTGGGTGTGGGTGCTGGGAACAGAAGTCCTCTGCAAGAGCAGCAAGTGTGCTTAACTGCTGAGCCCTCTCTCCAGCCCCCGGAACAGATTTTAAATTCAGCGTCCAAACATGCTTTGTAAGCCCTTGAAAGACAGGCAAAGTGTGTGTGTGTGTGTGTGTGTGTGTGTGTGTGTGTGTGTGTGTGTGTGTGTGTGTGTGT